TGAGCACGGAAGAGGCGGCTAAGCAGGGCATAGATGTAGGGGGCTTCAGGGGAGGTTTGGAGCAGCACAGCCAGGCCTCCGTACCAAGCAGCCCTGGACAGGTGATGGGCATAGAGGCGCTCTGTGGGTGACAGCAGGCGGAAGGCCTCACGGCAGTCCAGGCTAGACACGCCGATGTCATTGGGCAGGATGTACTGGGTATCTGCCATGGGCCCTGCAAGGACACATCACAACCATCTCAGAGAACACACCATCTTCACATCTGAACTCTCATGAACTAACTTCTTCCACCCCAAAGCCCAGGAGGCTTTTCACCTGATAAACTGAAATTCAAAGACTCAAATACTTAGTGAGCTCATTTGGGCCTGTGGCCTCTCAGACTTAAAGTCTGAATCCAACTACTTCATATTACAGATGGGGAAACTGAGGCTCAAAGATAACAAGACTTTTTCCTAATGATACAGAGGAGGAATCGGCAGAAAAACCCTCATTGCTAGACTCCCAGCCTGGACACTCCCAGTGAAACCTCCACCCTCTCAGGCATCAGAGCCTCTTGGTCCAGAACTCCTCAACATCTCCAGCCCATCACCGCTGACCAAGGCCAGGTGTCTGGCTTCCTATCCACCCCTGTTTCAATCTGCTCCAGCAAAGAGATCTAAAATCCAAGCCAGCCACTTCACTTTCCTGCACCTCTCTTTCCTCCTTTGTAAAATTGATTACGAAGATGTAACCAAGCTCAACAGCTGGGTATGCAAATTAGAAGAGGCCACCTCCAGGACAGGAATGTAACTCAGCTGGTAGCGTTTGCCTAGCACTAATCAGGCCCTGGGTTGGAGTCCAAGGCCAGGCTGGGGTACATGAAACCCTGTCAAAAACAAGTAAATCAAAGAGTAGTAATGTTTCTTGCATGCTTTTCCTTCCCAGAATCTGCCCCAAAGCTCCTGGCTTTTCTTCAGCCCTTCACTATCCTGCTTTCTTCTGTTGCTACGCCTGGGAAGCTGTACAACGTCACAACCCATTTTCCAGATAGACACTGACACTTGGAAAACAAGCAACTTATCCAAAGCTTTGCAGCCCAGATGGGACCCAGGGAATTCCCAACACACCACATTCTCCATGCCCCGCCCCCGACTACGCACGCGTTTCTACCCTCCCCATTCCCCATTCGCGCAGCCTCGCCCCAACTACCCAGTCGACGGGGCTCGGAAAGGGGTGTTAACTCTTTACTGCCCAGAACCCCTTCTTGGCCCGATACCAGGGGTAGATTTGGAAGAGGCACTGGAGGATGAACAGAACGAGGATGATCTTGCACGCACAGCCCGGCCACGCTCTGATCCCCTGAAGATGATACACCGTGACCCCAAAACCAGGGCGCCGCACCTCACCTGCTGCAGCAGCTCCGTTCGCAAACTCACTTCCTGCTTCCGGCTCCCCCCCCATTCATGGGATTTTTACAAGCCCCGCCCTCACCGACCAATTGTCTGGCCCCTGGGATCAGATGGGCGGCGACTCCAGCCAGTACACGAGCCGAGGACAGCACCCCCCCTCATCTACTACCCGCCCCCGGCCGCTAAGGGTGGTGCTTGCTTAGAAGGGCCCTGAGGCCTTGGCCTTTTGTCCCCTGGCCACGCTCGCACAGAGGAGTGGCGAATGGGGGGGGGGGGGAAGTGGTTTGGTGTCTCAGTAACCCACGTGGCTGCTGCCTGGTGCAGACCGAGGGAACTGACAAGGTCCCCAAACACAGGGCTCCTATACATCGGTAGCCTCCACCCACACGTAGCTGGAACCGTGCTCTCTTTGGGGTTTCACCTCCAGTGTCCCTCCGACCTGGGTTTGGCGGTTAGCAACAGGAATTTAGAGAAGAGCGTAGCAATGTGGATCCCCCCCCTCCTCTCCGGATTTTGGGTTTGGGGATGATATTTGAAGACTGCAAAACTGTTGCAAAGAGTGGTGGCTACACGCGAGGAAGCTCCGGCAGAGCAGAAGTAGTTCCACCCACCCAGGAGTGCAGAAAATGGTACAGGAACTTCACTAGCGCGAAAACAAGGCCAGCAAGGAGCTGGCATTTTCTTGGTGCAGCTGTTCACCGGACAGAATAGGAAAGCAGCCTCCGGCCACTCGGGGGCAGCCCAGGGTGCAGGCAAGCATGCTGTCCGCTTTTACTAGTCAGGGTGATGTCTGAGTGACTTCTAGTAGTGTGTGCAAGTTCCTGCTGACTGACGAGGAAAATGTTGTTAAAAGCTTGGGTTAGACTGGGAGCTGACACACATTGCCTGAAGTCAAATCAGACTTCTGTCACCTTTCAGAAAGTGACTTTAGGTGGGTCGTTTGAGCTCTGTCAGCTTTACTTCAGGACTAATAAGTGAACCTACTCCGAGGGAGGGGAGACCGTCAAGGAATAGTGCTGCCCCCTAGGGTTGTGTAGAAGGTAGTGTCTTGGGAGTGAAATCCAAGCCACTCTTCTTGCCACGCCCATGTATAGAGCCCAATGTAACTGACGTTCAGTACAGGCACAGACTTCTCCTTCACAAAGGTGCCCAAGAGGGGCTTGTCACCACAACACTAGGAGCTGTGGCCTCTGATTGGTGCACATTATGTTTACGTCCTGAGGAAACTCCCCTTTTACCTTTTTTCATTGTTGTTAGGTATTGTTTTAGGTTTTAGAATAGGGATAAAGTGGACTGACTCAGATGAAGTTGGTGTAACTATAACCAGGTAGGAGAGATAGAGCTGTCCATAGCAACCAAGGGGTAGCTCAGGCAAGTGAAGGATCCCAGTACCCAAGACCCCCACCAAGCTGCATGGTGCCATTTTATAATCTCAACTGATAGGAGTACTTATTGAATGAAGTCCTTTACCAGCAGCTTGCCATATAGAATCGCATTTAATTCTTGCAAAACCCCTGAGATAGCATATCAATGTTGCACAGGTGGGAAAACTTAGATTTCCTAAGACCTCCCACTACACTGTTCCCTCCTCCCACCCAACATCCTCTCTCTCTCTCTCTCTCTCTCTCTCTCTCTCTCTCTCTCTCTCTCTCTCTCTCTCTCATCGTAGCACATTCTATTAATGGGTCATGGCTTTTCTGTATGTTTACATCCCCCTGGTGAACAAAGTACTCTTTGTTTTTGTTTGTTTGAGGCAGGATCTTGCCATGTAGCTCAGGCTAGCAATAAACACACAATGTCCCTCCTTCCTTACCCTACCAAATGCTGGGATTGCAAGCAGAGGCCACCATGCCTGGCCTTAGAGACTGTCGTTCCATTTGACAGTTGTGGAATCTGAAGCTCAAGGGCTGGCTCCCACCGCCAGCCTGAGTTCTTCCCCAAGCCCAGGCAAGTACCTTTCATTCGTCCTTCCTCCCAGAGTCTGAGATTCAAAACCAGAAACGAGATCAGAATATGCTCCCCTGCCCGGTCCCCAACAGGAGCATTAGCAAGAACTGGATAGAGTTTCATTTCTAGTGTTTGGGGGTAGGGCGGAAATGTTCCTCATACACTGTGGCATCCCCTTCTGCCATGCACCCCAGGTAGCTGTGACACTCGTCTGCGGGAAGGCTGCCTTCTGTCCTCTCAATAGCCCAAGCCTGGTCTTTCTGGCCTCAACCAGCTGTGCAGGTTCTTGTGGAATCTGCACCTCCCTGAAGCTGTGGCACCTATCTTGCACTGAGGACAAGGTCACACCTACACTCAGAGCCACCCCCTTTTATTTCTCTATAGTCTACCTACCTATTTTCCTGGTTCACTTTCCTTTAAATGATCAGGGGGAAACCCCAGCTAGGCCCCTGGTTCACAGGAAGACTGACTCACCAACAGGAGGAGTAGGGAGGGGCTGGCGCTGACGTGACTTCCACAGTCACCAGGGCCCACCAGGTCCCAGCCTACAGCCCTGGTCCCATCACTCTTTCTCTAAGAATGCTGGTTGTTAGACACTTTCCCTGCTTTTCTATGCTGCTGTCCTCACCCAGGCTGCCCTCCAAACTCCATCCTGCCTCTGCAGTGTCTGCCAGTCAAGATGTGGCTCTGGTTTCAGGCCCTCTAGAGTTCTCGGGGCAACACCTTCTTGTACAGGTGGCCAGCAGGATGTGGTAATAATCAGCTTCTGGCGTCAGTCCCACAGGGTCTCCTCTATGTGGGAGCCCTTGCTCATTGCTTGGGCCCACATGGGGCTGGAAACTGAGCAGGTGGATATATATCCATCTACCTATTCAGCTTTTCCATGAAACAGACTCTAAACTGCCTTGCCTCCGTCCTGCCCAGCCTTAGTATGGTCTGATGGGTAGGTGTGGTTTCCCATAGCCCCTTGCAACTAGATTGTAACTTTATTTTTCTACCAACCTAAGTGCCTCATGGTGAAACACAGATTAATAGAAATGGATTAATTTAAGTTAGAAGAGCTAGCTAGGAATATTACTAGGCTATTAGCCAAACAGTTTTGTAATTAATATTGTTTCTGTGTGATTATTAAGGTATGAGTGGGACATCTCCCTTCCTGGATCACTGTGGGGATTAAATGACCAAATCTTCGAGAGGCAGAGTCCTGGTACCTAGCGAAGGTTCTGTGAACACTGCTGAAGTGACTGTTAGGATGGGATGGGGCACACAGTGACTATTCAGTGTTGGTAGCCCTTGGGTCAGAGCCAGTGCCGTGGAGCTGACTCCTGATTGTTCACAAATGAGGATCTGAATCTCCACCAAGCATGACTACACCCTATGCTCCAGCATCCCTTAATCTGTTTCCCCATCCCTGCTTCCTTACACTGAGCCTGTGTGGAGAGGGTACAGAGCCCTTACCTTGTGGGCTTGGAAAAGTCCAAGCCAGCATGGAGGCCAAGCTCCTGTGCCGCCACCTCGATGAAGCCTTTTACTTTCCCAAATCCATCAAGTGCTGTTCTCTAGCCCTAGAACCTGGAACTCGCTGGTCCTAACACCTGCGAGGCAGTCTACCCGTCACTAGGCTGTGAACTCCACCCAGTGGAGAACTGACTGCCCGTGTGACCTCCACTTGGTGCTATCCTGCCTGCAAATGCTGACCTCAGACTGCCGGCCCATTCAGTACTCAGAGGGCTGGAGATACTGCATGCATGTGGGACACGTGGATCTGTGAGGGCAGCTGAGCAGATTTATAGAGCAACCCAGGGCAGCAGCAGGAGGAAGGAGTGGCTGGTACTGGATTGGCAGGTTCAGGGCACAACCGGACTAAGCTGGAAGTCAGGGGCCGTGGCCCCTTCACTCCCCCAGGGACACAGTGTACGCAGCATGATGTAGGATACCCCAGGAAGGGCAGGGGCATGAGGCGCCCTCCATCAGCCTGAGGCAGAGCTGGTGCTAAAGTCCCCATCAGTACGACTGGGATAGAGATCTCAGGGATCCTCTTAGAGGCTAGAGCTGAGGGGAGGGTCACAGCCCATCTGGTGTGGCCATTGCCAGCAGGCACAGTCCCACATGCAGAGCTCCCTCTGAACGGCAGGAGAGGGGGGACCTGGGTGGGTAGGCAGGCATGGCAGCAAGGACCCTGGAGAGCCTAGTCCAGTGGCCCCTGGAAAATTAGGCGGACACAACCATGCTCACCAGTGAGCCAAGCCCCACAAAAGGGGCAGGCCGCATGAAAAGCATGGGTGCCATGAGGCAGTGGCGTCTGGGCCCAGTAACGGGCAGTCTTCTCAGAACAGACATGGCCACAGGGTGCAAAAGCGTGGCTGGGTGGCCCAGGGTCCAGGCAGAGACCAGCCTCCTGGCCGAGCCACAGGGGCACATAGGGTCCCACAAGGCGGCAAAGAGGACACTCGCGCTCTTGAGGGCCTCGCTCCCTCCGGCAGCCCCAACCATGGTAACCATGGACATGACCACAGCGGACGTAGACCCAGGGCTGTTGCTTGTCAGGTGCTGTGCGGCCACGGGCTGGACTGGGGAAGGCCAAGGTGCTGAGGCCCACAGGACACTGGGGCCGTGCTGCGTTGGCCTCCTGTCGCTGGGCCTCCAGTTGTTTCAGTGTGGGTGCTCTCAGCAACCCTGCTGGAGTGCGCCACAGCAGTGTGGCCCCACATAGGTCGATGAGCGAGCCATCTTGCAGGACGTTGGATTCGTTTTCCACCTGCCGGAGGCAGCAGAAGGCCTTAGCCCAAGAGCTCTCGGGCCCTGCCATCAGGCAGCCTCACCCCAGAGAAGCCACCTATCTGGCCAGTGGCATTCCCTGGAGAGAACACCCTAGGTCAGCAGGCCAGCTGGACACAGGGAAGACAGATGCCACTAAGTACATACAGCCCCTGTTCTCAGTAGGACCTGGGCTCTGGTATCTTTGCAGGTCAAATCCAAAAGTCTGACCCAAAGCAAGGTTTTCCAAAGCTCTCCCATAATGGCAGAAGTAGAATGTAGCAGAGAGAGCAAATATATCCCATGGTGAATACTGGCTACCAGCCCAAAGCAGCTGTCCTAAGGGTCATGGATCACAGCAAGAACTCTAGAAGGAGCCCGGGTTCAAATCCTGGTCTTGCCATTCACTTACTCAGCTAAGAGAATAACTTAATTTCTGTGTTTTGGTCTCCTGGGCCTCAAAGTGGATTCCGTTTCTCAAGTGGGCCTTGTGAAGACTAAATAAGCCACCTAGACAAAAATCATGGAACGATGTCTGGTATACAGTGTGCACATAACAAGTATACGTCCACGTCACATTCACGTGTGTGGTTTGCCTTTCGTTTTGTTTAATTTTATGAGTGTTTTGTCTGCATGTATACTATCCACCATATGTATGTTTGGTGCTCATGGAGGCCAGAAGAGGGTGATGGAGTTACGGATGGCCGTGAGCAGCTGTGTGGATGCCAAGAATCAAACCTGGGTCTTATGAAAGAACAGCCAGTGCTTTTACCGCTGGGCCATCTCTCTAGTCCCTGGTTTGATTTTGAGACAGGCTCTTACTATGTGCCCAGGCTGGCCTAGAACTCACAACCTTCTTATGTGCCGACACCAGGGGAGAATTCTGTGTGGTCCAGTCAAGGAATATAGCTGTATGGCCCTGTGATTCCTATCCCTTACTCCCAGCTCTCAATAGCACTAGAGGGGTACTTCTGGACCAGCAGTATAAGAACTATTCCAAAGGCCATTTACTGCTGGGAAAGAAAGAATAATAGCGCTAAACCTCCCTGAATGTGACAGACACAGTATAAGCTGCCAACACTCTGGGCTATAAACTGCGCATACGCAGACCAAGTGTCACCCTTGGAAGAGGATATGATTTTCCCAGCCTCAAAGCCATTTGGCTCTACACACTGCATTTGTGTAGTTCTAGTTCACATCACCTGCTGGATCCCCAGCAATATGAAACTATGCCTAGGGGCCTTGCTCTGGCCCTGTCTATGGGTAGGTGACAAGCGTCGAGAACACACTGAGCCTGGGGCTCACAAAAGAGAGCCTAGCGGACTGTCTTGGAGAGAAGTACCATCAATCATCTCCCAGCCTGGAAAGGCAATGAACTGATTATGAGGGCCTGGGAAGGGTGGGGAGAAATGGAAGAGGCCACCTACCAGCTTCCCCCGCTGCTGGGCTGAGCGGCTATCCCGCAATGTGTACACATTCCCGCAGACAGAAATCTCCCTCCAGACACCTGGGGCAGAGTCCTCAGAGAAGCCACCTGCTGGGTGCATCACCAGGACCCCGTTGGTTGTCAGGCCATCCATCAGACCATCAGGAGTCCTCCATTTGGCTGCCCGCTCCTAGGACCACATGAAGGATAAGCTCACAACTCCAGGCGCTCCCAAAAAGCTGCATGCCTGAGGTGTTGTCCCCCTACCTTCCCAGAGAGGTCCTGGGTACCACCTGATCTCTTTGTACCCCACTTTGCTTCTTCAAGAAGTGGGCTGCTAAGCCATAGGAGAGTGACGCAGAGGATGGCTATGCAGCGGCCCCTCACACTAGGCTGCAGCGGCCCTCTAGCCTCCCTCCCATCAGCTTACTCTGTGGAAGGGTAAGCCCTGCTGGGGGCTCACTCACTCCAAGAAAAATGTTGCTAGAGGCATCGAAGCCAGCAGCATAGATACGGGCAGTATAGGGTGGCCGGCGGTCACAGAGGATGCGGCAGGCATAGCGGGAGATGGTACTTTGGGCGGAAGGGCCCTCTGTGGCTCCTCCGCCAGGAGATGTGTCTGTTACCACGAAGTCAATCATGTTTTCGGTAGAGCGGCCAATCTACAAAGAAAGGAGGACAAGCACACATGCACAGGTGGATCTCACAGGCCTCTCACCAGCAGCCACCAAACAAAGAAGACGTTAGACCCAAAGAGTACCACACCACAGCTCTCTAGGACAGTGGCTCTCAACCTTCCTAATGCTGCGGCCCTTTAATACAGACCCCCAACCATAAAATTATTTTGTTGCTACTTCATAACTGTAATTATTCTTCTATTATGAATGGTAATGTAATTATCTGATATGCAACCCCAAAGGGTTGCAACTCACAGGTGAAAAACTACTCTACGTCCTTGTACGAAGGATCTCTACATCTGATGAGCTGAGGCATGAAGAAGCATCTGCTCTGTGGCCCCATAGCTCTGAGAAACACCCCACTCAGGAAGAACCAGCTCATCTGCTGATAGACCCATTAAAAGGTGACACCCTGGAATAGTAACAGCAAATTAAACTTTAGTAAGAATGCATCTTTAAAGATTGTTGTTGTTGCCGGGTGGTGATGGTAGTGCACGCCTTTAATTCCAGCACTCAGGAGGCAGAGGCAGGTGGATCTCTGTGAGTTCGAGGCCAGCCTGGTATACAAGAGCTAGTTCCAGGACAGGCTCAAAAAAAACAGAGATAGATACCAAGACCATACAAATGGCCAAGAAGTTGGAAGAACAAACTTGTTGATATGAATGCATCTGCTGTCTGTCCAAGAGGTGCAATCTTGCTGGAAGAGTTCCTGCAGCAGGTTTGATTCCAGAGTGTCAGCACCTAGCTTTAATCTGCCTTTTGTCTCTGGTACCTTCATCTGAAATATGTAAATCTTGTCTGAGAGTTTATTCCTGCAAGAACTCCTCCAACACAGTT